CCTTTTTGTGTCCTGTTTAAAAAATCCTTCCTTAGTTCAAGAGCAACTAATATATTCTGTGTTACCTTCCAACAGCATTATACTTTTGCCTTTAGAATTGGTTTTGTTATCCATTTGGGATTATCTTTGTGTGTGATGTGAAGTAGGAGTCAAATTTCACTTTTTTTCTAAAATAGATGTACAGTCATCCCAGAACTATTCATTTATTTATTTATTTTATTTATTTATTTTAAGTGTAATCAGTTTACAGTGTGTCAACTTCTGGTGTACAGCTTAATGTTTCAGTCATACATACATATATTCATTTTCATATTCTTTTTCAGAATATTTACTTAAAATAAATAGTCCTTCCTTTTTGATATAATGTATACATATACATACACACAAACATGCACACACATATCCGTGGGTCTGGATTCCCTGTTTTGGTTCGTAAGTATGTTTGTCTTATCCTGCATCATTATCACTAATTGCTCTAGTGCTATAATCTTCATAATTGGTGTAACAAGCTTCCCACTTTGTTTTGTTCAAGAGTATCTTGGCTATTCTGGGCCATTTGCATTTCCATATTAATTTTTAAAAATTTATTTTATTTTATTGTATTTTTTAGGTGGGAAGGTAGTTAGTTTTATTTGTTTATTTTTAGAGGAGGACTGGGGATTGAACCCAGGACCTTGTGTATACTAAGCATGTACTCTACCACTTGGGCTATACCCACCGTCCTTGTTTCCATATTAATTTTAAAACTATCTTAATAAGTTTCACAAGAACTATTGGGATTTGGCTGAGATTGCACTGAATCAAGTGTTTCAATTTGGGGATAATTGACTCCTCAGTGTTGAGGTTTCCAATCTATGAATGTGGCATATCCCTTAATTTATTTAGGTGTTATTTAATAAAGTTTTATATTTTTCTACCTAAAAGATTATGCACATGTTTTGTTAGACTTATTGATGCTATTATAAATATTTTTATTTCAAATATTTTTTCTTAGTGTATAGGAATATGGTTGGTTATTGTATATTGTTTTTATTTCCTTCTAGCTTTCTAAATCCTCTTGTTAATTCTAATACTATGTCTGTAGTTTTAAAAAGATATTTTGTACTCTCAATTATTTCATTATGAATGACAGTTTTATTTCTTGCTTTTTAGTCTATATACCATTTATTATTTTTCTTACCTTATTGTGCTACCTGTAATAAAATGCAGTGGTAATTAAAATTCCTGCCTCATTTCTGATCATATAAGAAACTTGCACAGAATTGTACACCGACAAAGACCATATGCATATTAGTACATGTATAACTGGCAGAACCATTATAAGTTCTGTGGGTTGTACCAGTGTCAGATACACAATTTTATATTGTACTATTATTATACAAGACATTGACATTGGGAGAGACTGAGTGAATAGTGCATAGGAATCCTTGTATATTTCTTTGCAACCACCTGTGAATCAATAATTACTAAAATCAAAGGTTGAAAAGAAAAGTTTCTTACTGCCTGATTCATACATTTTCTGCATTCAGAAAGGCATTTAAATGCCTTGGTTTGTAATAAAAGGCAGTTATTCCAGTCCTCCTTTTCCAACTTCTTTGGGTTTAAAGATTGCATTGCTGTTAATTAGTACTCACACCATCCTTACAAAATGCTTCCTATCAAGGCACAGTTTATTAAACACATTGTCTGTTTTAGTCTTGGAATGAAACTATTAGTAATGGGCCAAGCTTTGGCTGTAAGTTTAGGAATCCAGCTTGTAGGTGTTTAGGGGCAGGATATTTGGTCTCAAGGGTATTAGATAAAAGAAAAAGCCTCAGCCACAGAGAAACAGAATAGGACCATTGTTGCTGAGTATTTTGTGTATCAAGATCAGAATAGGAGTGATGACAGACTGTTATTCAATGTTAAACCTGGAGGGTTATGGGATACAGGTTGTGTTTTTATGTTAACTGTGCTTTTACTTAACCTAAATATATTTTTTCAGTTAAAACCTTTTTTATGTTACAGGAAATAAATGTTAATATGGAGAATGATTTTAAGACTGAGTCAGCATCATCCACCTTTTCTCTTCAAAGTTCTTCAGAGACATTGTTTTCTATTCAGCTATTAGATTTCAAATCAAGTTTGCTGGAAGCATTAGAAGAACTGCGTATGAGAAGGGTAAGCTCCTTTTTAAAATGCTTTTTTAAATCAAAGAACTTGATTTTGTCCAACTTTTTGGCTTAAGGGAAGAAAAAAAATGACAAAATAACCTCTTATTTGGAAAGAAGAAATATAGCCCAAAAAATGGAGTAAAAGAGAAAAGATTAGGTTTAGTTAACATCAACAAGGTGGAATAGATGAATCTATAAACTAAAATAAAAAATAAAACAGATTTTCAGGTTGTTAAATACTTGGTAAGTCAGCTAGTATTTATTGAGTGCCTTGGAGTGCATAAATAGCATTATGATTAGACCCAGCGCCTGATGAAATAGAACTGCTCTTCAGGAGATTACAATTTTGTTAAGGTTGTAAGATAGGTGCCAATGAAAAGATTAAGTAATGAAACAAGCAACATAATTAAGTGACAAAGCAAATGTATGTAGTAAGTATTCAGAGTTCACATAATAAAATATCCTTATTTTTAAAGTGATAACCCTGTGATCTTTAAAAAGGAGATACCTAGTATAAAATGGTAATAAAAGCTATTTGGTTTCAATGGGAGATCTATATTGTATAAAACCCTTAAAAACATTTCATTTCTGAGACTGTGGATCTAAATTTGCAGAGCATTATTGTCAGCTCTCTGTTAAATAGATTGGAGGTGGTAATGTTCTGAAAAGAAGAAAAAAACTAAGAAAACATTGTAATAATGATATGGGGATGGGGTCAGTAAGCCTTATATGTAACTGAAGACAGAACATAAGAGACAGAAAGAATTGGTAGAACTTGGTGACTCCTTGGAAATAGCTATAAGTGGGAGAAAAAGAGATCTGAAACAACATTTTTATTATATGAACCTTGTTCTAGAATTTTAAAATTTGAAATTTGTTGTCATAATAAGAAAATTCAATTGACACTTCATCCTATATAAAGCTACTTGCTATCAATGTAAGAAGAATCTACTTAACAAGGAAGAAATCCTACTAAAAAAAAGGATATGTTAGATAAGCATTGAAAATAGCTGTTTTTCAAAATTAGCTTAAAATGGTATTTTTTTAAAGTGAAACAGCTTTAGGTAGCTATTTAAAACTTTATATTCTGTTTTATTTTGTTTCAGACATTATGTTTTGGTCTGTTTATATTTATAACTTGAAAAATAAGCTTCCTTTAAAAATCTTTAGAAAAATTTCAGGGTAGTAATAGGAACAGTGTTTTTTAATAACCAAATGCAGGAATGTATACTACTTTTAATAACATTCCTCATTGAAAGGCGAACTTTATTCTTAAAATATAAAATATAAAAAATTCTTTTTAAGAGGAGAAATTCCTTCTTTTACTGGAAAAAGACAAGTATTGATTTTCACATTTACATAATGGTAACACTTTATCCATATTGCTGGATTTTAATTTTTCCCCAGATTTTAATAAGAAAATTTCAGAAGTGCAAATGAGCTGAAAGAATTTCATAGTGAACACCCATATACCCACCATGGTAGGCAGAATAATGGTCACCCCAGTGATGTCCACGTTCTAACCCTCAAACCCTGTAAATATGTTACCTTACATGACAAAAGGGACTCTGAAGTTGTGATAGAGTTATAGATGGAGGGGTTACACTGAATTATTCAGGGGGGCCTAGTATGTTCACAAGGGTTCTTATAAGAGGGAAGGAGGATAATCAGAATCAGAGAAGCAAATGTGATGACAGAAGTAGGGGGTGTGGTCAGAGAGAGATTTGAAGATGTTATATTGCTGGCTTTGAAGATGGAGGGTGGAAGCCATGAGTCAAGGCATGCAGGTGGAAGCTGGAAGAGGCAAGGAGTTTTCCCATAGAGACTTCAAAAGGGATGTGGCATAACCAACACCTTGATTTTAGCCCAGTAAGGACATTTCAGATTTCTGACCTCCAGAACTGTAATAGACTAAGTCTGAGTTGTTTTAAGCCAGTTTGTGTGTTGGAATTTATTACAGCAGTTCTATGCTTGATCCTCATATCCCTTTATTATTCTGGGCTAATGAGCTATAGGTGCCCATGTGATTTGAACGTCTTTATAGCATTTATCATGGCCACTGAATAGGCTAATGTATTTGAAAATTGAAATTGTGTTATGCAAACAAATGAAACTGCATTTTATTTGAATTCAACTTTGGCTTCAAGTAAAGGATGTTGGAATAGAGTATTCACAAACTACTCTAATATGTATAGAGAATACATAGAGAATACCTATGAACTCACTTTGAAATTTGCTGCATTTTCAGTTATCAGGATAAGTTAACCTTTGTAAGCACTGACAATATTAATATGTTACATGGATTTATCACAGGGAGACAAATCAGGAACATACCTTACATGCTTTACTGTCTTGTGTAGACTGAATAACAGATACACAGTGACCGATTATTGACTATGAAAGAAGTGACATGATTCATTACTGATCATGACACACGTGTGTTATTTATGTAGTGATTTGTGGATCAAAGAGTTAGCAGTGAAGTTTGTGCAGTTACAATAATATACCATGGTAACTAAAATTTAGGCCATGTTGTTGGGGAGCTGGTACTGTTTAACCAAACCAAAGTAACTGAAATTTGTGCATATTAGATCTTGTGTAATGTGAGGGCTGCCTGTATATTATTAAATGAAAAATGCAAGTTGTTAAAAAATTTTAAAATGTTTGTATAGCCATAGATCCACAGAGAACAGTTCTGGAAAGATATATATTAAACCATTAACCATGGTTACTTCAGAAGAATGAAGTTCTTTGTAGTATCCTTGCACCTTTTCTGTAAATTTGAGCTGTTTTTAACAATAAAAAATTAAAAACAATGAAGTATTAGGCATGTCAAGAAATACTATGTGATCAATACCAATATAAAAATCAGACAATAAAAATAAAATGATATGTGATTTGGATATTGGAGTTTAAACAGAAAAGGACATTTTAAATAGTGCTTCAGTTATACATATATATTATTTTTCATATTCTTTTCATTGTGGGTTATTACAAGCTATTGAATATAGTTCCCTGTGCTGTACAGTAGGACCTTGTTGTGTCTGCTAATCCCAAACTCTTAATTTGTCCCTCCCCTCTTTTTCCCTTTGGTAGCCATATTGTTTTCTATGTCAGTGAGTCTGTTTCTGTTTTGGAAATAAATTCATTTGTGTCATTTTTTAGATTCCACATAAAAATGATATCATATGGTATTTGTCTTTCTGTGTCTGACTTACTTCACTTAAAATGATAATCTCTAGGTCCACTGATGTTGCAGCAAATGATATTATTTCATTCTTTTTTATGGCTGAGTAGTATTTCATTGTGTTTATATATACCACAACTTCTTTATTCAGTCATCTGTGGTTGGATATTTAGGTTGTTTCCATGTCTTGGCTATTGTTAATAGTGCTTTTATGAACATTTGGGTGCATGTATCTTAGAAAAGAAAATTTAATACAATTAACATATTGAAAATATGTATTGTCTTGATACTATTAGGCTAAAGACAAAAAGCTTAAAAGCTTACATTAAAAACTACCTCTGGTTGGTAAGTTCATTTCTCATGGGAGTAATACTGAAACTGCAGGTATGCTAGTGTTGAAAAAATATGCAAATTATGGATTATGAGAGCTAGGTAGAGTTTTTTTGCTTTTGAAACAAGAAGTTACAAATAAGCAAGGAAGGAAGGCTAGAATGAGCTCTGTGGTGCTGGATTAAAGTTGAAGATATCAATATGAACTCATGATTTAATTATATACAGGTAGAAAGATACAGAAATATAGATATGTGTATAAATGGGTTAGAATATATGCATATATTTTCTACCTCTGCTGAAAAGGCCTAGAAATAGCAACACCCCCGTAGCAGCAGCCATCTGTAGGGCCCAGATCTTGGTTCTAAATAAAATCATCTAATGAAAGGAACCAGTACTCCTTGGAGAAATGGTTTATTCCAGAGTTGGACATCATGTAGTGCTGGAAAGTGAGGAGTTACTTAAAACAACATGTCAAAAGGGTACAGAAGCCAACCTGAAAGAGCTTCCATGAACAAAGCTGGAAGAATTTGAGCAACAAATTAAATAATAATGGCATTGGATTATAACCCAAAGAATAAAATAAATATTCATTTTACCCTACTAACTTAAATAAATGATGAAATAAATAAATTGGGGAGATGGGACAAATCTTTAATTCCAATGAATAAATGCAGAAGGAAGAAGAAAATTAGAAAATCACTCTTAGAACATCACAGTAATAATTGCTGCAGGCAAGATCTACTGATGAATTCTAAAATTAGTGGATAAAACTTTAAGGAGAAACAGAATAGTTGCATAGTCACATGGTATCTTCCCCAAAGCATTTAGTAAGTTACTGTGATGGTTTTATATGTGTTCACAAATTGTTTGGTACTCCTTCCTCTAGTAAGTGGAGCTTAATTTCCCTCACCTTGATTGTGGACTAAGTCCTAAGAGATAAAAGATATAAAGGGAAAATATTTAGGTTTACTATGGAGAAACCTGGCAGATCACACCTTAACTAAGTGATTAAGATTCTTAGAAAGAATTCATATGGTACCCATAATTCATGTGAATATCAAATACTCATGATATGATACGATGAGAAGGAAATTTTACCTCTGTGGTATTTTCCCCCTAAACCTAGTCTGATCATGAGAAAATACCAGACAGACCTCATATGTGGGCCATTCTACAAGACATCTCAACAATGCTTGTCAGAGGTATCAAGGTCATGAAAAACAAGAAGATTGAGAAACTATCACAGATTGGAGAAGTCTAGGGAGACATGACTAAATGCAACATGGTATTGTATTGTGTCCTACAACAGATGTTGGTGGAAAAACTAGGTAAATCTGAATAAACTTTGTTGTCTAATCAATAGTATTGTAACAATGTGATTTTCTTAACTGATAAATGTGCTCTAGTTATGTAAGATTTTAACATTAGGGAAGCTGGGTAAAGAGTATATATGAACTCTACTATCTTTACAAGTCCTTTGTAAGTCT